CAATCACATCTCTCCCTCCCCCCCCCCTCTCTCTCCCTTTTCAAGAACCAATCACCACCTCCCCTTCTCTCTCTCTCTCTCCTTCCTCTTTTGAAAAAAACAACAACCAATCACCACCTCCCATTCTCTCTCTCTCCTACTCCTCCCCCTTTTCAAAAACCAACCAATTCTCTTTTCTCTCTCCTTTCCAAAACACCCAATCAACACACACTCTCTCCCCTCCCTCTTTACCAAGAAAAAACAAAAAAAAAAAACACCACCAATCACCACCTCTCCCTCTCTCTCTCCCTCCGCCCCCTTTTCTAAACCACCCAATCAACACCTCTCTCTATCCCCTCCCCCTTTTCAAAACCCAACCAATCACCACCTCTCTCCCTCTCTCTTATCTCCTCCTCCTTTTTCAAAACACCAACCAATCACCACCTCTCTCTCTCTCTCATCTCCTCCCCCTTTTTCAAAACACCAACCAATCACCACCTCTCCCTCTCTCTCTCTCCTTTTCAAACCAACCAATCACCACCTCGCCTTCCCTCTCTATCCCCTCCCCCTTTTCAAAACACCAACCAATCACCACCTCTCCCTCTCTCTCTCTCCTTTTCAAACCAACCAATCACCACCTCGCCTTCCCTCTCTATCCCCTCCCCCTTTTCAAAACACCAACCAATCACCACCTCTCCCTCTCTCTCTCTCCTTTTCAAACCAACCAATCACCACCTCTCTCCCTCTCTCTTATCTCCTCCTTTTTCAAAACACCAACCAATCACCACCTCTCCCTCTCTCTCTCCCCTCCCCCCTTTTCAAAACACCAACCAATCACCACCTCTCCCTCTCTCTCTCCCCTCCCCCTCTCTCTCTCCCCTCCCCCTCTCTCTCTCCCCTCCCCCTTTTTCAAAACACCAACCAATCACCACCTCTCTCTCTCTCTAATCTCCTCCCCCTTTTTCAAAACACCAACCAATCACCACCTCTCTCTCTCTCTTATCTCCTCCTCCTTTTTCAAAACACCAACCAATCACCACCTCTCCCTCTCTCTTTCTCCTTTTCAAACCAACCAATCACCACCTCTCCCTCTCTCTTTCTCCTTTTCAAACCAACCAATCACCACCTCTCCCTCTCTCTCTCCCCTCCCCCTTTTTCAAAACCCAACCAATCACCACCTCACCCTCTCTCTCTTTCCCCTCCCCCTTTTCAAAACCCAACCAATCACCACCTCTCCCTCTCTCTTTCTCTCTCTCCTTTTCAAACCAACCAATCACCACCACACCTTCTCTCTCTTTCCCCGCCCCTTTTTCAAAACCCAACCAATCACCACCTCTCTCTCTCTTATCTCCTCCTCCTTTTTCAAACCAACCAATCACCACCTCTCCCTCTCTCTTATCTCCTCCCCCTTTTTCAAACCTAGCCAATCGGGTGCGACTTCAAGCTCGGTTCGACGGCCCGGGAGGACAAGTGTCGTGTGTGCGGCGGCGACGGGTCGACCTGCAACACCATTCGGGGGACGTTCACGCAGGAGATTCTGACGGCTGGATATAACGACATTTTCCTTATACCGGCCGGAGCGACGAACATCTACGTCGAGGAAATGACCGTTTCGTATAACCATTTGGGTAAGTTGTGTGTGCGTGCGTGTGTGTGTGTTAGGTCAGGGAGAGTTGGGTCATAGCATTATCCGATAGTGTGTGTGCGTGTGTGTGTGTTTGTGTGTGTGTGTGTGTGTGTGTGTGTGTTAGGTCAGGGAGAGTTGGGTCATAGCATTATCCGATAGTGTGTGTGCGTGCGTGTGTGTGTGTTTGTGTGTGTGTTTGTGTGTGTGTGTGCGTGTGTGTGTACTTGTGCGTGTGTGTGTGTGTGTTCAAGTTCAGTTTTAAAAAAAGGAGGGAAAAAAGGGAAGGTTGGGTTGGATTCGAGGTCAGGTCAGGTCAGGTTAAATCAAGTTAAGAAAAAGAGAGAATGAAGTAGGATAGGTTAAATCAGGTTAAGAAAGTCAAGTTAGGTCAGGTCAATTTAGGTCAGGTCAATTTAGGTCAGGTCAAGTGAGGTCAGGTCACGTTGGATCAGGTCACGATGGGCCAGGTCATGATGGGCCAGGTCATGATGGACCAGGTCACGTTAGGTCAGGTCACGTTGGGCCAGGTCATGTTAGACCAGGTCACGTTGGGTCAGGTCACGTTGGGCCAGGTCATGTTAGGCCAGGTCACGTTGGGTCAGGTCAGGTCATGTTAGGTCAGGTCAGATCAAATTGGGTCAGGCTGAGTTTAGACAAGCACTTGGTCATAGCATTATCTGATAGTGTGTGCGTGCGCGCGCGTGTGTATGTTATCACTATTGCAGTTATTATTATTATTGTTATTACTATTATTATTGGAAAATATTTAGTCTCAAATTCTTTTTCTCTTAAGCAGGCGTTTTTATCCCGTAGAGTTTATTGGTTGAGAAGATTATTATTATTATTATTAATAGTATTATTATTATTGCTGCTACTACTACTACTACTACTACAACTACTACTACAACTGCTATTATTGTTATTGGGTTTCGCTCGTATATTTTTCGATTATTTTTCTCACTCTTTCTTCTTAATTATTCTCCCTGTCTCTCTCTCTCCCCTCTCTTCCTTCCTTTCTCTCTCTCTCCCTTCCTTCCCACAACCCTAATCTCCCTTCTCCCTTCCTTCCCACAACCCTAATCTCCCTTCTCCCTCCCCCCATCCCCTCCCTTCCTCTCTTCTCCCATGTCTCCCTCTTTTCCTCCCTCCCTTCCTTCTCTCTCCCTCCCTCCCTCTTTTCCTCCCTCCCTTCCTTCTCTCTCCCTCCCTCCCTCCCTTCTCTCTCCCTCCCTCCCTTCTCTCTCCCTCCCTCCCTTCTCTCTCCCTCCCTCCCTTCTCTCTCCCTCCCTTCCTTCTCTCTCTTCCCTATTTTTTTTTCTCTCTCTCTCTCCTCCCTACCTTCCCACAACCCTAATCTCCCTTCTCCCTTCTCCCTCCCCCCCCCAAGCCCTCCGCAACACCAGCGGCCACTTCTACATCAACGGCGACTGGCGCCTCGACGCTTCCAAGTCCTTCACTGTGCCCGAGTCGTCGTCAGGCAGGTCAGGTCAGGTCACGGGCCTCACGACGACCTTCCACTACGAGAGGAGGTCAGGAGGTCAAGAGGGCGTAGGAGTTTTCTCGCCTGAGGTCCTAAGGGCGAAGGGACCCACGACGGAGGCTCTTTATGTGGTGGTAAGTTGAACGATACGGTTTTGTTGTTGTTGTTGTTGTTGTTATTATTATTTTGTTGTTGTTGTTATTATTATTATTTTATTAGCGTTATTCTTATTCCAATTTCTTTTTGGTTGTTTCTCGTGTCTGTCTCTCTCTCTCTTTTATCTCTCTCTCATTATCTCTTTATCTCTCATCTCCCGACTGCTCCTGTACCCAAGGGCATCTGCTACACTCTCTCTCTCCCTCTTTATCTCCTTCTCTCTATTTATCTCTCATTATCTCCATCTCTCTCTCATTATCTCCATTTATCTTTCCCTCTCTCCCTCTTTATCTCTCATTATCTCTAATTATGTCTCCCCCCACCAGCTCCTGTACCAAGAACCGAACAAGGGCATCCGCTACACACTCTCTCTCTCTCTATTTATCTCTCCATCTCTCCCCCTCTTTATCTCTCATTATCTCCATTTATCTCTCATTATCTCTAATTATCTCCCATCCCCCCCCCCCAGCTCCTGTACCAAGAACCCAACAAGGGCGTCCGTTACGAGTACAGCGTGCCCCTGGAGGTTGGCCAGGGCGAAGCAGAGGTGTACGACTGGCTCTTCGGTACCTTCGGCGAGTGCTCGGTGCCCTGCGGTGGAGGTAATTAGTAGGGGGGGGTTGGGGGGGTTGGAGTAATTAGTGTGGGGGGTGATTAGGTGGGGGGTGATTAGTGGGGTTGGGGGGGTGATTAGGTGGGGGGGGGGTTGGGGGGGTGATTAGGTGGGGTGGGGGTTTGGGGGGGGTGATTAGTGGTGGGTGATTAGTGGGGTTGGGGGGGTGATTAGTGGTGGGTGACTAGTGGGGTTGGGGGGGTTGGGGGTGATTAGGTGGGGGGTGGGGGGTTTGGAGGTAATTAGTGTGGGGGGGGTTAGGGTTGGAGGTAATTAGTGTGGGGGGGTTGGAGGTAATTAATGTGGGGGGGTTGGAGGTAATTAGTGGGGGGGGTTGGAGGTAATTAGTGGGGGGTGATTAAGTTGGGGTTTGGGGGTGATTAGTAAAGGTTAATGAAGGCGAGTGTCCGGTGCCCTGCGGAAGAGGTAAGTTAATGAGAGTAATTAGTGGGGGGTTAATTAGTGTGTTTGTGGGTAAATGATGATAAAAATCCCCAACCAATCCCCACACAATCCTTACCCAATCCCTAATCCCTCACCTAATCCTAATATCTACTCCCCCCTAATCCCTCCTTCCGAATCCCTAATCCAACCTTCCTAATCTCCTTCTAATCCCTAATTCTCCAATCCCAATCCCCACCTAATCCTAATCTCAACCCCCCCCCTAATCCAACCTTCACAATCCCTAATCCTCCCTTCCTAATCCCTACCCAATCCCTTCCTAATCGCCGCCTAATCCGGCCTCCCCAATCCCCGCCTAATCCAACCTTCCCAATCCCTCCCAACCCCCCCTTCCCAATCCCTACCCAATCCTCCCTTCCCAATCCCTACCTGATCCCTAATCCCTACCTGATCCCTAATCCCTACCTAATCCTCCCTCCCCAATCCCTACCTAATCCTCACCCAATCCTCCCTTCCCAATCCCTTCCTAATCCTCCCTTCCCAATCCCTTCCTAATCCCTACCCAATCCTCCCTTCCCAATCCCTACCTAACCCTCCCTTCCCAATCCCTACCTAATCCTCACCCAATCCCTACCTAATCCTCACCCAATCCCTAATCCCTACCTAATCCTCCCTCCCCAATCCGTCTTTCCTAATCCTCACCTAATCCGGCATCCCCAATCCCCGCCTAATCCCTACTTAAT